CACTAATTACAATTTATACAAGTGAAATGTAATTTAGAACCAGAACATTGTATTATTTGCACATTCAGCAAAGACAACCAAAGGCTTAGCTCCTATCCACAGAGTACCTGTAAACTCCATTAGTTTCAACTTACTTGTCTTCCTAACACAGAGCAAAAAAACCTCTTCTCAAAATATAACGGAATCACGTTATGTATTAATGCTTGAGGATTGAGGATAGTCCGTCCGAGGAAAATCTTTGTTTAAGCAGATAGGTGGAAACAAGCAATTTACTCAATATCAACCATTTTTATTGACCTTCTTAGGGATTTAAATGCCATTTATGAGAAGTAGGTGGAAAAACGTCTTGACAAAGTAATTTCTATAAAATGTGCACACTCCTTTTTGCCTTCTACCGCTCATAAACGGCACTGCTATGCGGATAGAATCATGGATTTTAATTAAATTGCTTGTTCCTTCCAATCTGCTATGTTCTTATTTACACAGACAGATTTGTAAACACATTTATTGTAGTTTTAAGACACATTACTGGGAGTATTATTGCTGTGGAGCTCTGTTATGTACTCACACACCAACAATATGGAGCTCATTAGGATGGAAAAGAGATTTGGACGCAGAATACGGACTATCCCTCCTCAATACGGACACTTGGAGATATGGTAATTCCTATGGAATGATACCCAGACATAGTATAATTCCATTGAGACATTAATTCCCAGTTACGTTAATAGCACTTCTCATAAAGAAGTCAAATAATGAATTTTACATAATTGTACACGGTCATACTTAGTCATTCTAATCACCACTAACTCTGCTTCCTCCTATTGCTTACTTCGGGTTTTATTTAGTGAGGTGACACTGGAGCAGGTACAAGACATGCTATTAAAAACAGAGAAACATTCTATTGGTTTGCCATACCGAGTGTGCCTTATTTAGCACCTTGTACTGGTTTGAAGCTTGTTTTGGTTTGCTAAATATTATGTTGCTGTAATTAGTGTGGCTTTCAGGATACACTGTATTTAAAGAGTTGGATTAAAATTCCTTAGGAACCTGTAGCTTTACTAAATAGAGCAACAATACCACACATACAGATCAGCGTCACACCTTCATACAATCGCTTTTTTGGACCAATGAATAAGACATTGAAAATCCCCTATAGCTTGCGTCAACATTTTTATATGAGATGCCCCATTTTCTTTTAAATTTATATTTAAGTTTTAGCTATTTCCATAATAAGCCAATTCAGACGTTAAAGTTATTCCAACCACCATGACCATTTCTGTTTTTAGAAGTGGTCATTGTGGTAGGAGTCTGTACTTGTAGCGTTTCTGCTTGAACTACACTTATAACCTGTGTTGGATTGCACAAATCAGCAAAAACAGAATTAGCTGATTCCCAGGCACGGGAAGCATGCAAGAATATCAAGGAGGTCGTCAAAGGCAGCGGCATAATGTGAGCAAGGTAAGTCATCCCTCCAGCCCAAGACCTGTATAGAGGCAAGCATCTTTGAGTCACAGACTAGGAGGCTCAGAGATTCCAAGTCCTGCCAATAGTGGGAGTAGCAGAAGGCCCTGATGTTCTGTCACCACCTGTGGCGGATGACCATCCATCTGTGTGGATGATGCATTGGGGTCCAGGCAGGCCGTCCTTAAGTGAAACAAATAGTGGAGTGACAGCTGAGCCCGATGGAGGCCCACTCACCCAATGGCTCTCACTCCTCCAAACTTCTTAGGTTAATGCAGACTTGTTGCTTTGATGCTCTCCAGGACTGCCAAGAAGCATAGAAAGAGCTTGCCAAGCTGATATAAGGACAGTTCCACCGAGCTATGAAGATCCTTCCTGGACTGCTTAGGAGTGTCGTCTTGGGGAGTAAGTGTGTGCGCCATTTTGCCATAGGTCACTGCATGCTGTGATTAGGTGATTGTGGCTTGAAACAAGAGGTAGTTGAAGCAAAAACAGACCAAGGTAGTCATGAGAGTCCTACTCCCCCCACCGGTCCAGGGGGGAGTAGGAAAGCAGCAGGATTCTACAGTGATTAAGGAGCAAGGAGGCCTAAGGAGGAGAGTTTTGGTTTATCTTTTGATGTTATCTCCTTATCTCATCCTCTGTCCTTCAGTCTCAAGCAGCTGTAAATCAGCCTTTTCAATTTTATGATAGTGATTTGGACCTTTGGTGTTTATGATTGCAATAGTACACTTCATTTTCAGGTCACCTCTGTTCCCAACAGCAGGGTCCACACTGGTGGATGAAATTACTCCTTCGATTCCTTTTTTTATTTATGGACTGCATGGAAGGGATCATTGCGCAAGAAATCAAGAATTGCTGACAATGATGCATGGATGGATTGACGGATGGATATATGGATGAATGTCGTGGAATTCACACTTTAAGTTATCCAACTTGGGGGGAGGGAATATCCAGTAAAAAAGTATTTTTATATTTTTTATTATCAAAGACAGCAACAAAGCTTTTAATATATATATATATATATATATATATATATATATATATATATATATTTATTTTCTTTTCGTGAAATGTTTTTGTTCTTTTTGAAAAATTGCTTTGTTCTCGTACAGCATAATTATGAATAAACTAGTTACATAAATGGCTTTAGTATTTGAGCTGCTCCCACACTTTTGGCAGAGAACAAATGTGTCTTGTGGTCAATAAGGCATTCGGCTTTGTTTGTGCATAGTAACAATGTAAGCAATATTTATTGTGCCAAAGAAAGGACGCTCTGTGAAGCTGTGAGTGCATCTGCAGCAGATTGTGTGTATTCCGCTAATTTCACAGCTTACAAATCCTCCTGCTTATAGTATTGCAGGTTTTTTTTTCATTGACACAGAATTGTTTAGTTTTCAGACTTTTCAGCATATTATTCATTATAAAAAACATTCCACACCTCATCGTGATGCTTTGAAAAGCCAAGACAAAGCAGTTGGCAAGTGGCTGGGTGAAATATGTAATTAGAAATGTGTTCTTTGGGCAAAAGTCAGTGGATTTGATTGAGTGTAAATCAATAGATCTATGTGAGTATGGTGGAATGAACGGTCTGTTTTATATCTGGCTGTGTAGATGCTTCTGTTGACAAAGTCTTTAACAAATCATTAAAGGAACACAGTAAAATTAATACATATCTGTATTCCTAGGGCTATCATGTTGCCCCCTCCCATCTGTACAATTAAGAAAGAAAAATAAAATAAATTACTCACCTTTTTTCCAGTGCTGATGCGCCTACGATTCCTCTATATGTTTGGATTTAAAAAAAAAAAATCTATTTATTTTAGTATATGCCATATTAAAACTGATGAATGTTTTGCCAGGCTAATTTTACAAATGAAGAACAGGTTGCAACACTTGTGCCAAGTATATAATTTGGTTCCTTATTAAAAAGGTTTAGAAGGGGAACGGGGCTTGGTCACCATGTCGAGCGGTTGCATAGGGCACGAGCTCTGCAAATAATTACTTTAAACACGGACAATTGCTCTACTTCGACTGCTGTGTCGATACTTGTAGTAATAGGGGAGTTGACGGGCTCTCTGGAGAAGCTTGGCTCAATTGTCCGTTATTGTGACCCATATTGTTTGCCTTGAGGCCTAGTGTGGGACAAGCTGGGAGTAGCAGCCAACCTCAGGTGCTCAGTCAAATTCTTTATCTCTGTCAATCTCCTGTGGTTGATGTGCTCTCACTTCTTACTACATGGTTGCCGTTTCATTGCAGAGCTCTGCTCATTTGAATTCCTGTGTACTGAACCTCTGGCTTTGTTCCTGGCTATGCTCCATTCTACTCTGCCACTCAAGAAACAGACTTAACTTCGGATTCCTACATCTTATCAGTTACTTCAAGGAACCATAAATCAATCTACACTGGAAATGCTTCAACTCCCATCATTCATTAAGGAAGATAAGTTCTCCTATGATTGTATTTACTAACTGGTTCTAGCCACAAGTTTCTGGGAAGGATAAAGGTTATCCAAAGTCTATTTGAAATATTAATCGCCAATTACTCAGTGGTATTAATTATTCCTATTAGAGCCTACTAACTACAACCACTTTACATTACAGGATAATTCACTACCCAAGTTATTTCTTTATACTAAGAGACTGATACTTTGTATTACAGAAGTCACCTGATTGGCAATCTTATTGAAGTCTTATGGACTATGCTACTTACTGCTAATTAACCATTCCAGATTGAAGTCACTTGGACTATATTGTTTGCTGCTAATTAAGCTTTTCCTTATTTTTATAATTGCTTTATTCTTGTTTGCAATTCTGAAACAAGATTCCAAGCATTAATGCATTATTTGCTGCAAAAGACTGCCAACGTTAATTTCCCTTTATTTAAAAATATTAAATTTTCCTAAAGTGATGGTATCAAATTTATTATTTCATCTGCAGTTACGTTCCAAATAAGTTTTTTCCCGAGAGCATTACACTTGCACAACAGGGCTTTATGTCTCTCCCAATGTGGGAAGGACTGGGACTTTCAGAGTCTCCCCATCTGTAGCTCGAAGATGCCATCCTCCTTAAAGGGCCTGGGACTGGAAGGATGCTCCCACTTACTCCTGCTGTGCTTCTACCTTCGCCTGCTCCCCAAGCAGTGGAATCGGTGGAATGCTACTAAGCTATTTTTTCTGGCTCTACAGCTTATAATGAATGTCAACCTCAGAAGACACCATCTAGCCCCTGTTGGGCCTCTATAGCCTTATTGTGTTTGTTTACTTATATTTGTTTTTTCTTTTCATATGCATTTTTTTTTTTATTTACCACTTGTATCTTGTTAAATATGCAGCTATCATAGCATGATAGTTTCCAGTGAGCCTGGCAAATAGCATGTATCCTATGTTGTGTAGCATTACTTTTCGACAGTCACACGTTCATCCTGTTTCATTAGATATCACCTCTTCTGAGCACTCAGTCTACGAATTCGTAATCAGACTATATTACACTCGGTCCTTATTGTTGTTTACTCATGCTACCCAACGGTTAAACCTACGAAGTTTTGGTGGTTATTCGTAAGCAGATATAATCAATAGTGTGCCTTTTCCTCTTAATGTGTAGCTACCCATGGCAGGTAATTAAAAATCATTTTGTATTATCTCGTATATCTATTACTTGCTTACAAATCTCTACACATTGCTGCTCCGACCTTTCTATCCTCACAAATATGTCCCGTCTAATCCTCTACACACTGCTGGAGACCTACATCTAACCTCTGTTCATATTCCTACCTCTGATGCTCACCTTAAAGACTTCTCTAGGGCTGCGCCATTCCTATGGAACGCACTTCCCCTCTCTGTTAGACTTTCACCCAGTCTTCATTCCTTCAAAAAATCTTTAAAAACGTACTTCTTTAGGAAATCATATCAATTAAACTGTAAACAGCTTTACCTCCTCCCCACACAATACTATTCTAGCAACCTCCTTTTCTACCCTACCCTTACCTCTTGTGTCACTATACTCCACTCCCTCTAGCATGTAAGCTCATTGAGCAGGGCCCTCAACCTCTCTGTTCCTGTGTCTCCAACTCGTCTGGTTACAATTACGTGTCTGTTAGTCTACCCATTGTACAGCGTTGCGGAATTTGCTGGCACTTTATAAATAATAATAATATTGTCTATATTTTGCATTTTATGTTGTTACTGAATGCCATGTGATTATTGCTTACACTTCTATAAAAAAAGACAAAAAAGAAATATAAAGTTTAGGAACCACTGATTTAGGCAGATAAATTACAACCTAGTGTGTATTATTTGATGAATGACATAAAAAAAAAAAGTACAAATGTTTAGTAAAAGGAAAAGTGAAGCAATACATAAATCAGAAAATATCAAGGCCATTATGCCAGTCATTATTTACATCCAGCAAAGTTTTTAATTTATTCTTTAAAAAAAGGACGAACACACTGAAAATATTAAATGTGACAAGCAATGTCCTTTCATTGCAGCATATTAAATACAATTTTTGTGAATGGACATATTACAAATTAATAAATATAAACCATCTAACTCTTTGTATGTGCACTAGTTGAGCGTTTTTTTTTTCAAATGTTTTGTGGGTGCGTGGAGTGGGCTGGTACCTTATTTACATTGTGAGTGTTTTAACTGGATACACAGCAAGCATGGTAGTGGTGTAAATGGCTGACACTATGAACCAGGAATCTAAAACGTGTTGGGACTTTTTGTACTGCTGATACTCTCCTCTATGATAACTGGGTTCAGCAATATCGGCGCCTGAATTAGAATCTACAGCGAAGGTCGTGGATCATGGAAAAAGCATGCAAAAGTTGAGTGTGTCAAAAAGGGAATCTACAGATATAAAAATGCAGAAAAATACACATAGATTAATACTGTAAGAACACTGAATAAATCGATCTGTGGTTTGCACTGTCGGAAGAGGAATACCATTCTGTCACTTCACCCCCTTTTAAGACGGTAATCAACCAATGGTTGAGTGTGTGCATAATCTTCCAAAAATTGGTATTCGATATTTCTGTGTCATTTAAAATCTGCAAAAAAGCGCAACCGTGAATTTTCCCATGGATTTCTGGTAACAAAATGCACACAAAAGTTGAGTAGGTCTCAACACAATGTTGACAACTCAAAGGTGCATTAGGTCTCCCCCGCCGGCTGATGTGGGCGGAGCCTGTCCCAGCGCCCAGGGACATCAGTGCTGGATTCAAGTAAGTTACTGAACAACATTGGATGGGGGTGTGGGAGAAAGAAGGGCACTGCAGGATCCTGCAGTGCCAGGAAAATGGGTTTGTTTTCCCGGCACTGAAGAGTCCCTTTAAATGCATCACTTGCCAGACATCCCATGTGCCCAGCAAGTGTACCGTCAGTCCAACGGGCCCAGAAAGTGTGCCACACTAACCACATCTCACAATGCATATTAATACACTGCTACTTTGCCCTGATGAGCAAAACTCAATCAATTTTTTGGTTGACAACTGAGTCACTTGCAAAAGAGACAGTGGACAGAGTCACAGCTGAGGAAAGAGTGATCCACTTAAAGCAATATGATATGCAGTGTAGCAGACATGCTTCCATGAAGCAGATACAAAGCTTGCAATTTCAATATTTCCCCAGCAAAGCATAGGAAGTAATGTCATTGATTAATATGAAGGAATGGGACTAACGCAGCTGGAAAAAAACAAAAACCCAATAATATAGAAAAATCTCAAGCTTCTGCAAGAGAACATGATGACAATGAAAAATGCAAAAATAACCAGAAGCATATGTTGTATATAAACATTTCTAACACATCTACACAGAGTATTCAACACTTTTCCTGAAATAGGTGTTAAGTTTCCACATCCGCCATGGTTTCCCAGATAGATAAGTTCCACGCGCTGTCAAGACGTACATGAATATTGCTAGTATAGTGTTAATAATTTACAATTTACTTGTAGTCGTAATTAATTCATCGACAGATTGCTCAAGGGATCGCAAAGGAAACTGTATTGTATTGCTTATAGCAATTAGAATTTCATGTATACTGTATAGACGTATGCCTCCAAGCATTAGGTGGTCCGAATGTGAGATGGGGGGAGAGTTGGGCTGGGGAAACTGGAGATACTTGAAGATGTCATTGAAGAGCAGTGGACCTTCGATTGGTTGCAGCTGTTCTGCACTGGTTGTGTATCTTCTAAATATAAAATCTTCAAAATAACGTTCTTGCTAAATGTTCCACTTTCAGAACACTGTGAAAGTGTTCCCCCAATGTTTTTTTTTTTTTATCAATAACCCCTTATACATATTAAAACAGTGAGCCAGTATTGTAGATAGATTGGTAGATCGGTGAATAGAGGAGGATTGGATAAGAATTTCTGAAAAACACTCTGGTTCAGGAACTTGGTTGAGTAGCCATAGTTTCACTGCAATTCTCATTATGCTTTGTCAGTCACTCCTGAGTTGTAGTTCCACAGCAGCTGGCTACGTACCTGTTGGTTATCCCTGGCCTAATTCACTATTTTTATATTTCCTTAAATGTAGGGAGCTATTTCTCCTACACAAAGCACAAAAATAAAAATTCTTAATTCAATAGTGCAAATTGTGTTAGCAAATGTACATTTAACATGTGTAACACTATATCAATATTTGTTGTATGTACATCTCCATCTATTGGAAGCACCTGTGCATAAAAATATTTTTTTCCTCCTGATTATTTTTAATGTAGCACTATAGAGTTAGGAATAGAAATACTATAATAATGTTCTACTCCATTATACCAGGGGAGGACCGGATGCCTTCGGTCCCAAATTTCAGTAAAACTGGTGCTTTGTAAATGTTCTGAATACTTCACTTTCTATAGGATTCAGATGTGAAAGCACTGAGTTTAATCCAGGCATCAAATGCATGATAATTCAGTTGAGCTCTGCCCAGAATAGACTTTAATAAGAATTTATAAGAATTGCTGTTCTGGTCAGACTTTGGTAATTGTAGTGAATAATCCTGAGGAGGGGAGGGTGTGGAGGTTTAGCTTGCTATATTGAATCTGATGTTTTTAAACAGGATTAATCCCTGGCTGCACTTGGAAATTTTACTTAAGCACAGTTTTCTGCACAAATTATTTCCACTTTTTGCTGCTTACAAATCATTATTTCTCGTCTTATATGAGGAATACCTGGTTCCTGACACCCCAACAATAGTACTACTACATTAAAGGTTATATGCTTCCCAACATTCCAAATAGACAAAGAGGGACACTTCAATTTTCAGGCCAAGCTGCCTGTTAGGTGGTGAGCCCACCTCTATTTTAGGTGGTCCTGTCCTTTTTTAGACAAGATCACTTTTTTCCTGAGTGACCCTGCCAATTGTGGCATTGCTAATGGCACTGTTTGCCCCTTTAGGACTCCGCACAGACCAGGCCCGATTTGAAAAATAGCAATATTGAGAAGCATGTGTTAAGTCCTGCAAGCTGCAAAGGTGGGACTTCCAGGATCAGATTTGTTGTTCCAGCACATCCTACAGATGCTAAATCGGATAGAAATCTGGAAAATTTGGAGGCAAAGGCAACACCGTGCCTCTGTGGTATTCTTTGTTGTGTTCTATGTTGTTCAAACCATTCGTGAACAATGTTTGCAGTGTGGCAGGGTTCATTATCCTGCTGAAAGAGGCATCTGTCAACAGGAAACATCATCGCCATGGTCTGCAACGATTGCTTGGTTGGTGGTTGTAACAGTTTGGGGTGAATGGACTCGGTATACAGAGAAAGGACAAAGAGAAGTCACTTAACGGAAAGTCTCTGAAAAACAAGTCACTGTGAGTTGAGAAGTCCAAAGACGAGGCCATGCAGCACCGGGACATGACCAGGAAACAAAAAGAAAGTGTTTTTAGCAGGTTAACCAAGTAGGCAAAGGTTAACCAAAGAATCCATGATAGGATCAGGTAGGCAGAGGTTATCCAGGGATTCAGGCAGGCAAGAAATAAGCAGTTTTACTGATTCCTTCCATTACATTTGGTAGATATAACCACTGCATACCGTGAACACTTCACAAGACCTGCCGTTTTTTGAGGTGCTCTGACCCAGTTGTCTAGTCACCACTATTTGGCCCTTTTCAAAGTTACTCAAATCTTTTCGCTTGCCCATTTTTCCTGCTTCCAACACATGATATTTAAGAAATGACCGTTCACTTGCTGCCTAATATATCCCACAACTTGCCAGGTGCCCGTGAAACGATATAATCAATGCTATTTACTTCACCTGTTAGTGGTTTTAATGTTGTGGCTGATCAGTCTACGTTTGTGGGGACAGCATCAGTATGTAAAGAAAATATTCCACCAGGGGAAAATATACCTAATCTGTAGGTGTTGTCACTCTTCGGCACAATTTGAATCAATGGAAAGGCCAGTTTTCAGGAGATTGCACAAATGCACGTCTTGTCCTGTGCTGCAGACTCCTATATTCAGTATAACTGCTCCATCAAAAAGCAAAACATATGAACACAATGAATTAAATATGTCTGATCTCTACTTCAATGTTACCTTTACTTATGTTTCTGAAAACATTTTATTTACAATTTTCTTAAAATGTGAAAGTGAATGTTTCAGATTGTCTCATTTCAGTTTGTTCCGTAGCAAGCAGCTATCAATTTACTAATGTTACTGTTAATCAAAAGCTAGTTAGTCATTCTGAGCATGTATCAAATTAAATGATTTGTTGTCTCCTGGAGTAATTTTGCCCTAATAAACAAATGATTATGATAAGTCTTGTACAGTAATCTAAAAGATTCTTTATATTTTAATTACAATCCGCAGAGCTGAAAGAACTGTACACAAAAAGTCTGCTAGCAATATGTCAGAAGAGCAATGTGATGCTTTTGAAATATTTTCCGTTGTGACATACAAAAAAGTAGTTTGAAGGTAAATGACTCTTCTGAAATACAGCACACCTTCCTACTTCAGTGTCCTGTAAAGTGGGACGCTGGTGGAAGGGGTGAAAGTGTTTAGGCCAGTGATGCAAATTTCCTACTGACTGCCAATCAAGTAGTCCAGATGGGAATACAACTATGTATGGACTGGGCATGGCTGCGGCGTGAACATTGTTATATATAAGCTGTGTATTGATTATATGTTTTTTATCTGGAGAGCCCAAAAGAAAAACTAATCACATTCTTAAATCACTTAAATGAAAACTCTTGGGGATTTTTTCTTAATGCCTACTGTAACGGATCACCTGGCACCCCGACTGGGCACCTCCGTTGAAGGACGTTTCCTAGCTGACGCCGAGGATCATAAGCACCGCACCGGACAACACAACCACGCAGACTCCACAACCGCCGTAGCTTAACTGGAGTCTCACCGTCTTCCTTCCACCCTGGATCAGCCTCTGTCCTCCAGGACCGTTTGGGAAAGACCTCTCCTCCAGGAGAGCCTATCAGGAACAGCTCTGACAAGAGCTAAGTGATTAGAGCTCAGGGGAGTATACAAAGTAAATCCCCAGTGTGAATATAGCAGTTCCCTACAATAACGAGACAAGGCTACGTATTGAGGGTTAAGCAGGAACAGAATGAACTGAGGGTTTATTGTCTCTTTTATACAAGTTTTCCCACAAGTTTACCACCCAGGTGGACCTTGTGGAGCACAGGACACAAAGTTACAAAGCCATTCAAAACACTCTTGTACAGTTAGGCACTCCCAGATAATATACACAAACCCTCCCCCTCTGCCTGTGATACAATTACCAAACACAATGAACTAACTCAATTACCCACAGGCAGAAAACACAAATTTTTCACAAAACACAGAAAACAATCCAAAACACCACATATCCCCACATCCCTGGATCTGGGTAAACAACATATCCAAAAATCACCCAGATCAGAGAAGGGGTTCAAAAATGTTGTGGAAGTCACATTTGACCGACCTCAAGTATGGTTTTCATGCCCAAAAAAGTTCCACAGATTTAGGCTGTGTGGCCAGTCTATCTTCTCCTCTATCCTGGAGATAATTGGCTTAAGTAACTATGGTAACTTAATTATCTCCAGGTACAGGAAATATCTCTAAGTCAAAAACTGTTACAAAAACCACATAAAAGTACATAACTCTTGAGGTTGCTGGGTGCAGTGTGAGATGGAACGGTGTGTGATTGATTGCCTGCTTTCATCTATTCTATCCCAGCTCACTGTTTGCCTTAATGCAAGAGACAGAGTTTGCCTTGGGAAAAGCAGACATGCTTTTAATTTATGCAGATATCTGTGCTGCTTCTTCTAATTGCATGTATGTTGTTTTTATGTGCATCTAACTAGCAGGCGGGCAAGTCTCATTCGGTCTTCACAAGGCCCAGGGAGCAGGGTTTTTAAATAGGGGGTGGGGTTCTGTGGCCACACTGGCTCTGCGCGTTTGTTAACCAATCATAAACATCACTGCTCCCAGGCAGCGCAGTTCCCTAGTGGAGCTTGCCCTTACACCCACTAGACATGTAGTACTCCTTCTAGGGACGTTTAACTGGGCAACTTTCCATGTAGGCTTCTATGTGCGGTGAATTTGGGGGTGCAGGGTGTTCCTGGCACCTCTCTCACTCTTTCCCTCCCCTCTTAGTTAGCTGTTGCTGGCTGTCAGGGTCATAAGTGTCCACTAGTTGTAATTCCCCCTGACTTCTTCGCCTTAGGTTAGTGGTCCCGCGAGGCCAACACCCATCCTCATACTTGGAGGTACTACGCCCCTCGGGCCAAATCATAGTTAGTCGCCTCGCATCGTGGCATAGGGAGGGCCTCACTTGTCACTCCCATTCTATCTAATGTTTAACTTTCACCGAGAGGCCAACACCCCGCCACAATGTTCAGTGGCCACGTTCTCCCCTCGCGCCAACTCGTAGATAGACCTTTACGCTGTTTGGCATCTAGCAGGGCCTCACCTGTCACCAAACCTAGTTTTTAATTGTTTCGCCTTTTTAGCATTAGCTAGTATGCCAGCTCGCACACGTACACTTTCACGCTCACGTGCATGTTGAGTCGTTTATGTGCGTTTTCTTCGTCTCTTTTTCTAGCGGGTCTCGGCTGCTAGGCGGGGGGTTTTTCCGCCCGGGTTCTCTGGCTGGGTCTGGTTCTCATCACCCTATGGAGTTTTGGCTACGCCTACCTTTTTCAGGTCCTAGGCGCTTCTCCCTTCTCTTTCTCGCGAGTCAGCTTATTCCGCAGCAGCCTTCCGGTCAGCTGTTTCTCTCAGTGTCTGTCCTCCTGCATGGGTAACGCTGCTGTCGGCTGTGGGGCGGTATCGGATGGCAGTTTTGGGGTAACTGGCATCTGCTGCTTTGGCTGGATCTGAACCGGTCTTCCCGTACCTCTTTCGTACGATCAGTCCTGCCTCCTTTACGCTTTCTAATGTGGCCCTGCCTGCGGCCTCTCCCGCAGCCACTACCATTCCCGGCGTTTCTGGGCTTGTTCGCGAGCGGCCAGCCTTGTGAGCTCGTGGTTGCCATTTTCACGTCTGGCTCTCATCTTTCTAGCACTCGCAGTGCATGTGTTCGGACCTTCTTCCCCTTCGAGGCTCCTGTCTCACGTATAACGTTTACTGTCTCTGTTGATGTGTTGTCTGCAATTGACTTTCTCTTCTTTTTGCCACCCCTTACTTGCATCAACTCTACCTATCCAGTCTACGAATTCATATTTTATAAAGGTTTTAGTCACACACAGTTTCATGTCCTCATACCAGTTTATTACCATATTCTAGGGTTCAGGTTCTGGGAATTTTCAAGCTCCAGTTTTTTCCATCAACATCCAAGTTTTAAATCACTATCAGACCTATTTATTACTTGTCATACCGACCGGGCATCTACTCTCAATGTAGGGCGATATCTGCTTGATCCAAGGATAAATCCGACTGCTTTCTGGGGTCAAGAAGGAATTTTTTCCCTAGCTTGTTGCAAATTGGAAAGCGCATCAAACTGTTTTTTTTTGCCTTCTTTAGGATCAACCGTTTAATCACAGATGTGAGGTAGACTGGAATTGGGGAACGCTGGTCTTTATCAGCAAGGCAACTATGTAGTCTAGTTGTCAAGCCACTAGATGGCCAACATGTTTTTATATTCCTTACTTTCCCTTCCACAAATTAAAGGGCCATTCAAAGCGCCGGGCACCTAATTACTCGCTCAGCTGTTATCATACGGCTAGGCTATTTAAGGTTGTTGGATGCTTTTAAACAGGTATCCTTTTTGCCCTCTTTTATTATTATTATTGTCCCCACTAGTGATGTCGCGAACCGTTCGCGAACTTGCCGCGAACCATTCGCCGTGGTTCGCCACCAACCGTTCGTGGCGAACTCTGGTCAGCTGACACATCCCTGCCAATCTCCGGCAGACCCTCCCTCCCAGACCCTCCTACTTCCTGGACAGCATCCATGTTGAAGGCAGCTTCAACATGGATGCTGTCCAGGAGGTGGGAAGGTCTGGGAGGGTGGGTCTGCCGGAGATTGGCAGGGATGTGTCAGCTGACCGGAGTTCGCCGCGAACAGTTCGTGGCAAATCGCGGCGAACCATTCGCGGCGAACTGTTCGCGGCAAGTTTGCAAACGGTTCGCGATATCACTAGTCCCCACCTTCCACTCCCTTTATTTATACTTTTCATTACACCTCATGGGTGGGCCCTCTTTTATTACAGGCCTACCACGACGTGGGTCCTGGCACACGACAACCGACTTATTCCCCCCTTTTTTATTTCCTTTACGGCCTTATTTGCCCCTCACACAAATATATTTTAAACACAAGCTGCCATTCTCATCCATTGTTATCCAATTTTCCTAAAAATCTATTTATGATAAAGAGAAATTGTACAGAAGTTTAGTGTTATCGAGCACAATCCACCTGGTTGAAGAATAGGTTCCTAGAAGAGGAATATAGAGAATGGGAGCTAGATCAAGCACTATAAGAATTAAGAAAAATTGAGAGGACCTGGGCTGGGACTGACTGGGATGGCACCTGGACGTGTCCTCTTAGAGCTTCAAGCGATTTTGGTGATTTAGTCATTCGCCAGTATCTTGGGTTTTTATTTTGAGCAGTCAGTGACAGCCTGTTATACTGCAGTGACTGACTGGCTCGATGTTGGTTCCAGTGGTCATCTGCAGTTATTCCTGCTGTTTGTGACTGAGGTGTAGTGGGCACTGTGGAGGGGAGAGGCGGACAATCTCTGGGTCCAACACGTGCTGTCTCCTGGAATCAAAGCCCCACTACCACCCCTCTGGACCGGCATGAGTAATCCTGGTTCCCACTTTGTGGGCTCCTAACCTCTTTGGGAGGTTTTTTGGAGGTCATGTGCTCCAAGACACACATGGATGAGGAGCCCGGACTCCTGACTAAACTGGACTGCCTTTTTTTCTGGCAAAAACTGCAGCACAGGTGACTCCAGCCTGCAATTCGAGAACTGCCAGTATACTTACCATCAGAACCGTTCTGAAGTCCGACAAGTGACTATAGACCCTATGGCAGCCCGCACCAGGCGGAATAAATTATACCAACAACGCCAGAGGAAAGCTGCGCAAAGGGCACTCGGCACCTGCACACAGGGCACCTTCACACGGGGTCGGGAGCTTCCCAGACAGGATGACACGCAGAATGCTACACACAGCCTGAGCCACCATCAGGATTATTTGACTTCACCACCTTTGGCACTGGACCTACGGATGAGCAAGGTCGGAGGGGGCTGTACCATACCCATTAAGGGAAAAGGTTGACTGTTGGGTTGGGCCCTTTTTTATCCACTGCCTTTTGATTACCACTGCAAAATATTCAACGTTACTCTACGACAAATTCTGATATGATCAGGTGCTTGGGGTCCTCCTACTTGACAATTTTGACGTTTCCTCTATGTCCATGGAGTTCCCTGGGGTGGAATACTTACTAGATATCTGCTCCTGTATACCAAAGTTGTTTCCTACGTTACTGTCTAGTCATGAATACCTTACTAGTTTCTCCTACAGCTTCTTCATGCATTACTTGCCTGTTTCATTATTAATATAAAAAGTGCAGTACTGCTCTTGATTTTTCATGGGACAATATTACTATTCCTCTAGATGTATATTATCTTGTGAAATGTCTCTGTAAACATACTTGTCAAACTATGCACTGCAAAAATAAAGATTGTCAAAAAATTCCAAAAATGACATTTTAAAAAATCGAGAGGACAAGTTTACTACAATATAAAATAGAGATTAATTATTTAAATAAGGATATGGATATATATTTTACTACCAAATATATTTGTCAAGCAGAACAAATTAAAAGAATAATTAGTAAGAGATGGTCTGTTTTGAAGCAAGACGATTTGGATTTTAACATACTCCCTGGTAAGTCAAGGGTTGTCTTCAGGGGATCCAGGAATATGAAGACTATCTTGCCATCCCAGTATGTTTCCAGAATCATAGAAAATGGAGAATACGTTTTTATATGGCAAAATAATGTTTTTTGTAGGTGTGAAGAATGTAATTTCTGTATACATGCAATCGATCAGAAAATGAAAAATAAAAAAAAAAATCAATATACAATATAGGATTTACAATTTAATTTCATATAATGGTAAGGGGGTTATTTATCTACCGAATTGCCCATGTGGTCTCCACTATGTAGGCCTCGCAGGGAGATTTTTACAGAAACACATCCAAAAACATACAAGGTCTGTCCGGAAAAACGTGGTTGAGAATCTGTTGAAGTATTTAGCGCCCTGCGACTTTTGGCTTTTCCCAAAACGAAAACCACCTTTGAAAGGGAAGAGATTTGAGACGATCGATAAGATTCAGGCAAATATGACGATGCAGCTGATGGCGATTCCAAGAAAGGATTTTGCAGAGTGTTTTGAACAGTGGAAGAGATGCTGGAAGAACTTTGTGAGGTCCCAAGGTGCCTACTTTGAGGCAGCATTGTCCTATGTGCAATGTTTCTTGTATCTTGTAGCTTCTCCAATAAATGTCTCTATTTTTCATATTACATGGCTGGATACTTCAGGACAGACCTTGTATATACAACATAAGTAAAGGTCTTTAGGGACATAGCGTGTATGCCTGTTTTAAGCAAAAACATAATAAACCCCCCGTTATGTATCCTTTTGTAGCACTGATAGGGTAAATGCACATAAAGGGGGAGTGGGGTGATTATAATAGGAAATTAGCAAAACGAGAAATGGTATTAATTTTTAAGCTCCAAGTTTTAGCCCCTAGTGGTGTAAATATGACTTTAAGTTGGTCAATTGTTTTAAAAGAGTAATCATCCATATTTTAATGTTATCTTTACTTGGTCCTTTCTTTTTACCAGAGCTAGATTTTTATATTTTTTAGAAGTAAAACATTTTTATAGCTTGGTTCTCTCTATATCAAGATAGAAAGATTCTAATATTTTGTATTTAAATATGATTTTTTTTTTTTTTTTTTGTAATATACCTGATTGTTTAACATGCCTTCTGTTCAATTAATTATTGTTTATTTATTAATATTCTTTGATGGGAACTTTTAATATATATATATATATATATATATATATATATATATATACACAAATCTGCCCTTGTTGAACTATGATAAATGGTTAGAGAACCACGTTTGATTTATTGTACTGAATATAATAATGTGAAATGTCTCTTGAATAATATGAGTTTAACATACGTAACCTTGGTTTAGAAACTGTTATTGAAGGTCTTTTAATGATATAATGTTAGCATGTGTAACCTTGATTTTCAAGTGGTTAAAATATATTGTAACAATAGTGAGACTAACAGAATAGGGTATTTAATCCCTCCCAAGTAAGGGCACAACCAGACTTTGAGAAAGAAGGGTGGAAGTCACGTGGTGCATGAGACGGTCGGAAAGAGCCAGAAATAAAGGAATTCCGATGGCACCCCAGGGGAAGAGAGATTGAACAGATGGTACATTCAGCAAAATAAGAACCGTAGCCTCTTTTTAATCTGTTTTTATCAATTGTAAATTTAGTAAATAATGAAATCTGTTGCAAGATAAAGTTATCGGTGCCTGCTTAATGAAGATACGATCGTAGTGAGAATTGGCTATAAACAACATCATATTGTCAGGTTCCTATCCTGACAACCAAATTATTGTTTCATTCATTCTGTTATATTTTTTATAGATACCAGTTTCCACCACTAGTCTAACCTCAGTTACTCTTACCTGCATAGCATGATCGTTTAGACTGCTATAAGAGGCCACACCCTGCCAAAGCAATTAGCCTTTTATTGATTGAAGTTTATGTTCTGATCCTGACAAGACTTCGGATTCTGGCTCCTGCTGTGAAATCCTGCTATATTCTGGATATCATAGAACCAACCCGATTTATCCTTTCAACCTGCTATCAATACGCTTGGGGAAAAATCTGATCTTCAATACCAACCTGCTTTATTCGATACTGGACTTTGATTCGTTATTGCTTTGGTTCTAACCTACTGTACACCTACCGGAAACTACGCAACCTACCTGGATATTATAAACATTCCTATTATTTGCAACTTTCCTGAAATACCCTGTTACAACTATCTGAAACTGCAGTACTACCTCTAAACCAAATAGGCTGATCACCTTGTATTACCTGTATTACTTAATCCTTTATAGTTCTGTCTAGTTGTATTTGGCTACGTGGAACCTATAGTTTCATAAATAGGTTTTCCTTATCTTGATCCACCTATAATCTCACTTATATGTTTCCCTGTTACCTTATACCTGTCTAGGGCATATTGCCTAACTCTTGTTTTTTATCTCTCCTTACACTTACCTATAATTTCGCTTATATGTTCTCCTTCTATCTTTTGCCTACAATTTCCCTTATAGGTTCTCCTTCTGCCTATAATCTAACCTATAGGTTTTCCTGCTACATAATACATGTCTGAGGCTTATTGCCTAAATCTCTGTTTTATAGCCCTCGATATACTTACCTGTAATTTCGTTTTATAGGTTCTACTTTCTCCCTTTGTCTTTATTATTTCCACTTACCTTTAAGTCCTACTACTCTTGTCTTGTTTCAAGACTAACCATGTCTATGATTTCCAATAAAGATCCTTAAGCTAACCCTGGTTATCTGACCTTATCAGAACCATGATACATATACTGTGGGACAAGTATCTGTCTCCAAATAATGTAAGAATCTGTTCATGGAGGTGAATCTGGTGGATGTCAGAAAATTTGATTACTGCGCAATTTGGGTCCCCATTCCTGTTCTGCAGGCTATCACATAGCAGGGTAGAAGATTTAAAGACACTGCAATCATTTTTACCTTTAGGCCTTTTTGGACTTCTGATGAACAATGGCCTTTCACTAACTCGTAACTGGCAAAAGTAAACCAGAACTCAGATAACAAAAAAGTAAGATATAATGATTTCAGTATAGAATAAGTCGTTGAAAGGGCACAGACAAGCAGGGCTGCCACCGATAGGGTGGACTACCAACTGGCCATAGAGTGCACAGTGCCCTCTCTGATTCAGAACTCCGGGGGAAATCCTTGTAGTAGCATGTCCTGATATGCATAACTGTGTGTGTATGTATGTAAATATGTACATGTTTGTGTGTGTCTGTGTGTGTGTGTCTGTGTGTGTGTCTGTGTGAATGTACGTCTAGGAGTGTGCATTATTAGTGCATATTTAAAAACAGCCGTCAAACTATGCCATAAATATTCTAAATTTGAATTATGACTATAACGTAGATAGAGTTGGTACAGTGTACAAAAAAAGCAAATGTATACACAGTAAGTTACACATACACCATCTTCTTACCTCACTCCTGTTTGCTGTGCATTACACTAACTGTAGTACATCTGCCAACATTTCTCTCTGATACTTACATAGAGACAGAGCAGTTGTGGAAAAGCAGATTTATAAGGAAGTTGGAGGATAAATAAGCATTTTGATCTAATTTTCATTAAGAAACAGAGCCAGGCCTGTGAATGCACTAGGTAAGGAGCAGGAGGCAAACTTTAGCCAGCTATGTATTTTGGGCGTTGCTAATGATGTAATGGTTAATAAAGATTAACATAATCTGAAAAAACACAACAAACTGAAATGGTGAAATGAGAAATGGAAAACATTTAAAAGTGAGACATTATGTAATTGAAAAATGAAAACAGGCAAAGAGAAGAAAAACGTTTCAAATTATATATAAAAACTATAAAAACTTGAATTATCAGAATGTTAGCAGCAGAATTGAACAGATAATTACATTGGACCAATAGCAACTGCACTCTTTTTTTTTTTTAAACATTCTTTATTTAAGATTTTAGCGGATTCATAAGTATAATAGTATAGCAGTGTACAGGATAAGAAAATAACATTGCATTATAGAACTGTAATGCTTCAGGTAAGACTAGAGAATTGTCCAGATGATGTCCATAGTAACATGCTATAATCTCATCAGACATCGACTTCCACTGTATATGTACTGTGTGCTTTAAAGGTTGTGAAAATTAGCAACTGGTTTCAATCAGGCCACGCATGCCCCCATCAGAGTCCATTGAATGTGGCTGATACTTGTGCCAGTGAAATCTGCTTGTATCACTCCGTTTGGTCGTGTTGGACAATGTGATTGGATGCATTACTAGCTTGAGAAATCTAGCCCCTAGCGGGAACAAGGGAAGGGAATGGAGAAAGGCTTAATGACCCATGCCCATTACCATGTGGTCGCAACTCTATCCAGGGTGGGAGCACCATTGTGCCAATCAGGGGCAGTGAGAATATAGAAATTTCCTG